GATCTCTCTAGTTTAATATTTTTTAATAGTAACTTTCTCCGGATCCTAGATCTCAGGCATAAGTCCGTTGATATTATTATTTTTTTCTTTTCATCCATCATTTTAGATCTTGTGGTCCAGAATTTATTAAGAATTAAGTTTCTATCTTTGACCGATTCAGTCATAACCTTAATTACTTGGTTATTTTTTTTATTTCCTAATTGAGTAAATCCCTCAATTTCTACATAATTAAGTCCTAAGTTTTCTTTTATAAATTTTTTCAACTCTTCTACATATTCCGAGGTTTTAAATGGAAAATTAAATATTATTAGATTCTTTTTAGTCGTCTCGTTTAACATTTTATCAATTTCAAAGTCCACCATATCTTTTAGCTTGCTATGCGAGTCCGTTCTTTCTTCTAATAGACGTAGTTTTTTGCACATGTCTTTCATCTCTTCCTTTATCTTTAAATTTTCTTCATTCATAAGGTTAATTTCTGCTCTCATGGAATGGATTTCAAAGTTTAGACGATCAAATTTGTCTTGGATTAATTCATAAACCGATTTAAGTGAGTATTCAGGTTCAACAGTCTTTGTCAGTAAATCTTCTTCTGGTTCAAAAAAGTCTTTTATTGTAGCATACCTCGAGGTATCAGTATTATTCTTGGAATGTTCCTCATTTAAGTTTTCCTCTCCTGACATTTCGCTTGTCTGAGTATTTTCTTCTATATCTCTTGTATACTCTCTGCATGGTCTCCCTCATCCCCTTTTTTGCATAACTGCTTGACTTGGTATTGGAGGAGATCGAGGAAAAGGTCCGGGATTTAACTCAATGCCAGCAATCATTAGTAAAATAAAAATTATTATTCGAGTTAATGAAACATTTAAACTACTTATTTCAATTCTAAACTTATTATTTTGTTGTAAAAATTCCATGTCTAACGTCACCACAACAGCTCAGCAAAAAAGTCACCAATACCTCCGCAGGCTAAACACGCCCCCTCATGAACTAACATATGATAAACTCAACAGTCAGATTCTAAATACAGTAGAAATTTGCTAATTCAGTGCCCATAATCCAGTACCTTCTCCAAAGTAGCCAATAGTTCAGAATTGTTGAATAATAATCTAGCATATTAATTCTTTACAACTTGGAATTTGTCAAATATTAGCATGCTGGGTGTTAGAGGAATTTGTGCTCTAAGACCCCAAATGAGTCAGGTTCTAAATACAGATGATTATTTCTATAGATGCTGTTAGAGACTTTACACCAGTGTTTCTTAACCTTTTTTTGGGATTGACATCACTTTGAATCTCAAAACATGGTGAAAATTGTGTTCAGGATAGAAAGGGCCAGACATCATCATAGTGTTTCCAGTTTATCGTGGTCTCTGAGTGTACACAGCACTCAGTCGAGACAGCTTTAAATTTTATGTTACATAAATGTTAAAAACCTATCGTTAACACTTGCACCCCAGGTTAAGAAANACAGATAATGAAAAATGTAACAGTTCAGTTGAAATACCATTGTCTACCTCATCTAATGTTATTACATCAAATCATACAAGAGATCATAATGATGATGAAAGTAAGTTCCTATTAAAATATGAATTATAATACAGGGTCTTCCAAAAAAGAATTCTACTATATTGACATCACTTTGAATCTCAAAATATGGTGAAAATTGTGTTCAGGATAGAAAGGGCCAGACATCATCATAGTGTTTCCAGTTTATCGTGGTCTCTGAGTGTACACAGCACTCAATCGAGACAGCTTTAAATTTTATGTTACATAAATGTTAAAAACCTATCGTTAACACTTGCACCCCAGGTTAAGAAATACTGCTTTAGACAAAGGAAAAGCTGTTTAATAAGTTCATAGCTGCAATTTAAAATCAGCATATAATCTGTACTCAGTTTCTTAATTGCCTTTTAAACACCCATAGATTATCCACAAAAAATTATAGTTTATCTGCTTCTCTATAAAAAAAAAAAAACAAATTTACTCAAAATAATTACAATATATGAATCAATAAAAAAACATTAGGATATATAATTTATGTAAAAATCTGAACAGAAAAAAAAATTGAAATGGAATTTTTTGTCGATTGAACACTTTTTGAATTTCCAATAACAAGCTGACATTTTAGACTTTTTCTTTTTTTTTTAAATGGGTAACTAGGAACTTTCAGAATATTTGGAGTATTCAAGATTCATATCACTTCTAGAAAGGACTGATTTTTCAATTGCTCCATCATAAAAATGTACAATTTAAAACTATTTTTGTTAATTTGTTATTATTAAGAGTTATTTTTTTTTGTTATTTTAATTAATGTTTGTATTAATTTAAGATTTTGTTGATTGACATAGTGTCTTTGTCAAAATAAATGTCTTTTGTCTTAAGCTGTTACAATATACAGCATTCCCCAAAAGGTAGTTTACAACTTCAAACTTTTATATTATGGCTTTGAATTGACATACAAAAAACTATAGTTTAGGTCAGGGGTGTCCAGCCCGCGGGCCGCATGCGGCCCAAGGCAAGTTCCAATGCGGCCCAATAAACGTGTAAACAAAACTGACAGATTTTTTTTATTTTATTTTATTTATTTATTTATTTCAACGGCACAAATTCAAAAAAGACGTTTCACAAAGCAGTAAACCTTTATGCATATTTTAATTTTGAGTGGAAAGGAAACATTTTCAAATACTTGGAAATGTGTGAATGAGGAAGGTATATTAAATAAAGCTGAAGTTGTGACTCAAAGGAGTATAGACTCAAATTCGGGGAAAGGAGAGAAAGGCCAAAAGATAAAATGATAATGAGAAAGGTTAAATATACGAATAAAGCTCTTTCTTATTAAATGAGAAAGGTTAAATATACCTTTTGTTATGCAAATATTGACCCTTAATTTTTCAACTTTCCTTACTTTTTTACCTTGGATCCTTTCTCTTCTTTTCTTGCTTTGGGTCTATAATCCTTTGAGTCCCAACTCCAGCTTTATTTAGTACTCCTTTCAGCGTTGCAAGATTTGGCTACTTTGCGCCAAATTTGGCTACCTTTTTATTAGTTTGGCGTAAAAAATATCATTTGACGCATTGGCTACTTTTTGGGTTACACATTATTTATATATTAGTTGAATAAAAATGCACTTTAAAATGATGTTTCATCACTTTTTATTAATTAAAGACCCAAATAAAACAAATATTTGTGTTTTTCAAATAAATTTTTGTTTATCTCCTTTATAATAAATGAATTTATTTATTCCTAAATAAAAATTGAAAGTGTCTGTAAAGTAATTTTTTAAAATATCCTTATTCGTAATAAAGTTTTAATGCTTATTACTATAATCTAGACATGTTAGTTCTTAAATATACTTGTATATTTAAGGATTGGGCCAAAATATACTTGGGCCACAAGTATATATGTTATACTTGTGGCCCAAAACTCCATGACTTCTTCCAATGTGGCCCAAAGAAACAAAAAGGTTGGACAACCCTGGTTTAAGTGATACATGAACTCAATGCATTTTGTGCTCAGTTCACTTCAATATGTGCACCTCTGGTTGCAACCAGAAGAATCAAATATATTTATCTATAAGAATCTTAATTTCTATTTCTTCATGAACATACAATCTATAATCAAATTACATACTGGATATTATATTATTATTCAATTTATGTAATGAAATGAACTATTATGCCTATAATAAATTTTAAAATTATCTTATATATTATAATTTCCTACTGTTTTGTTTAACAAATACTAAGTAAATAAATATTATCAAAATTTACAAAAATATTTTATATTTTTTCTAGAGGATTTTAGTCTTCAGTGCAGAGTTCTTAATAAACCGTATAATGTGTTTGGTACATGGTATACTGAAACTTACCTGTTGTCAGGCCATTTACATTTTCTGGGTTCTTCAGTTTCTTGTTCAGTATTGTGGCTAAATAAAGCATCTCAAGAAACAGAATCAGAAAAGAAGCCAGTTGTTAAACAGTTATTTAAGTTTTATAATAAAAATGCAAGCTCTCTTCGATCTATTATGGTTGCAAATAGTCTTCTACCTTCAGAAGAAGGAAATTCTAACATACAAGATGATACAGATAATGAAAAATGTAACAGTTCAGTTGAAATACCATTGTCTACCTCATCTAATGTTATTACATCAAATCATACAAGAGATCATAATGATGATGAAAGTAAGTTCCTATTAAAATATGAATTATAATACAGGGTCTTCCAAAAAAGAATTCTACTATTTTAAATTATCATAATTATTTTAATTATTATCTGAGAAGTATGCAATATGCAGTAATAAATAGAGTAAGTATCTGAGTTTCATCTCTCATCTGCATTCAAATGTCTTGTCCTCTATTGTCTCTGGGAAGCGCTGTAAATGAAAATGGCAACTCCAAATAGAGAAGGTGTTTTGTGTTCTGCAGTTTATGAAGTTGGAATCACTCATCATTGTGTAACACAAGTATTCTGCAGAAGCTATATGCAGAAGCTGTGGGTGCTCTGGAAGGAATGACAATGGATATTTTGTAGCAAACAGAGGAAGAATTTGAGTAATTTGAGTATCAGTTGGATGTGCACTGAGCAACACAAAGTGCACACATTGGGAAATTTTGATTAGCAAATGTGAAATTTGGACAGTTTTCAAATCTTTTTAATGTACATTACAATATTCTCAGATAATAATTAATATAATTATAGTAATTTAAAGTTATAGCATTCTTTTTGGAAGACCCTGTATAAAATTAATTTATATTGTTTTATAAATAGTAAATTTACTTTGATTTATAGTATGACTTTTAAAAATTGTTTTGTAAATTTATGACTTTAAATAGATGTTAAAATAATAAATTTGAATAATGTGTCCTGTATTTCAGTATGTCACTATAGTTTGGAAGATAATTCTGATAGTGGTAATGAAATGGAAGATAATTGTAGTCACACTTGCTTCGAAACAAATGATAAAAGCGAAAGGATTGACTCTGTAACATGTAATTGCAGTTTGGAAGATAGTCATGAAAGTGATAATGATATGGAAGATAATTGCAATAATACATGTATTGAAACTATTTTAGATGATAGAGAGAAATTATTGATTTTTACTATGGGATCACTTACCTATATACCACATCAAATTGGTATTAAAAAAATAAAACCTTTTACGTAAGTAATTTACATTTGTCCAGTTATTTTTCATGTGATAAATGTTGAAACTTGATTATATTTTAATTAGATTTGTTGAGAGAATAGCAACAACACCATCGTTATCACAACGTTTAGCAGAACATCAAGAAAGACTTCAGTTCCCAGAGCCTTCTCCTGATTGGAATGACGAAAAAAGTGTTAATCATTTATTTGATCAAGTAGACGTTGTGATAGAAATTCATGGTCATATAATTGGCATGGGGCTATCACCTGATCACAGGTAATTTGAAAAAATTTTTAAATTTAATAATAATTTTTTAAAATAAAAATATCTATAAATATAAAATTATAAATACAGGTATCCCTTGTTAACTGCAATTTTCCTAATCATAGTTTTGAAATAATACAATCTCTGAAAATAATTGAATTAATAAAAATTGTATACAAAAAAATTTTAAATATCAACTTCTAGAAACTTGATGTATTGATACTAAGCCAAACAATTACCATAATTAATCATAATTAACCTTTAGTACTAAATTACTTAGTTTCTAATTATTAATTATAGCATATTAATAGCCCAATTAATTACAGCAATCTTTTGGCTTAGTAAATAAATTTATATTATTATTTAATGCTGTGTTTTGATTACTGATCATGTATATTGTATTTTAAAAAACAAAAAATAATGTTCTCTTAATTACAAATAATTTTTAAAAATTATATAAAATGTCATGAAAGACAAAAATAAAATTCCTTCAGCTGATGGTTGCTAGGTATTTTGAAGGTGAGGAATTATCCAAAATGCAGCTCAAGAAAATCAAATATCTGCTTCAACAAGATGACAAACTGCATGGTCTTAAGGAATATATTTGAAATGAAGATCACAACTATGCAGATGAAGGAGCTAAAATTGAAAAGCCAATACTAATAGTCATTGCCATAAAAAAAGAGAAAGCAGATTGTATATTGAAATTATTGATCATTATATAAATGTTGTTCCAGTCACTGAACATAATTTGAATTTTAAATGAATTATTGAAAGTATTGTTGACACCCCTATAAAAAAAAAAAGGCAAAAAAATTTGACAAGAAAATTAATATTAAATTCTTAGCTTTTTTAAAAGTTGTGATGTTTCTCAATCAATTTGTTTTAGGATTTTTTAATTTCTTATGGTTTACAAAATATTTCATTATTTGATTAAGTAAATGTCTCTTCAATCCAAAAAAATTCTTCCAGTAGACTACCTAACAGCCAATTCAGGTTATAAAAACTCCTTGTTTTTTGCCAATTTTATAATTAAAATTTATTTTGTAGCACTGAAGAGGAGCTAGAAAGTTAACATAGCTTGAAATGTATCTCTAAAAAAACAATAAAAGTAGTTTTTATAACCTGAATTGGCTGTGAGGTAGTCTACTAGAAGAATTTTTTCAAATTGAAGAGATGCTTACTTAACATATAAAACAGCTACCATTAGAAAATTCAAAAACAAAAATGTTTTATTATATTTCGATTGAAAAGGGAGTTAGTGAATTTATTAAGTAATAAAAGGATAATTGTTTCACAAACCAGACTTTTTTCATTGGTCTTACATGAATTGGTCTGATTTTTCATTTTAAATATGCATTTTAAATATTTTTCATTCCTACATTTATATTTAGCTATAGTTAAAATAAAGGACAGTTTCAGATTGCAGATCCCCAAGTAAAAGTACAGTGATCATAAAGTCACTGTACTTTTTCTGACATTATACATATTCTTAATAATTCACAGTAATGTAATATTTAGGTTATTTTGAAAATCGTATTCTCTGTGGTTCATAATAATTAATCTCATAATGCATATTCTCTCGTTATGTTCCCTGATATACCTAGGTATACAGAGTGTGAAGCTAGGGCAACAGGCAAACAAAGAAACAAATAAGGACTTTACAATACTTTCATACAGATGAGGCAATAAAATGAGTTTAATTCAGGGTCATACAGGCTTATTGATTCTCATACATAAGACTATTGGTTAATCCTGAAATTTTACAATTAACATACACAGAAGTCATTTATAGAGGTATAAAATAACATATACATACATATATATATTGTCCTATGTGCTACAGTACTTCATCTCTGTGACATCATACAAAGGAAATAACATTCTTACACATATCCTTTCCCTTGTAATATAAGATGCCTATTAGTTTCACATCAATCTCATCCTACTATCCTTGGATGTGAACGGATTTCTCCTTCTCTTCAAAATAACACTTTTCAGTTCCTCTCCTATAGTCAACGAAACTCTCCTTTCTTAGCTGTTCTCTAGTAAATGGTAGGTGTCTAGCAGGACCAGACAAAGGTCAAAGCAAAAGGTGCTTCCTTTAGGTGAATGACCACTATTTATAACACTTGCCATCTGACGTCACAGGTTGTATATGTCATCCATTCTTCTACCAATCGGTGAGTCTGGATACATTAACATCGAAAAGGTGGTGTCCAACATAAAATGGAAAGTGATGCGATTTATTGTACACAATATAACCCGACATAAATTAAACCGATTGATAATTCGTTAAAATTATTACAATCACAATGCAAAGAAAACATTCAACAAAGTGACAGAGCACTACACTCTTTTCAATAACACAATCCAATTTATATAATACTTTTTGAGAATAAAACTTATCAACTATTTTCTGATTTTCTGACTAAGAATGTTTCTGTTATTTATTTATATAATCACTTAAAAGTAAAACTTTTTTTTTTTTAGAGATTTGTAAAATTGTCCTTTGTTTTAGCTGTAGTTGGAAAAGAGTGTGGGAATAAAAACCATGTTTGATATGTATATACTTTAAGATTGAAATAAAGAATCAGACTCTCAAGTCTTGTGTGTTATTGTTTACAGAACAATTATTCTTCTATTAGTTTTCATTTTACTGTTGTACTTTTAGGGTAAAATTAAATTTCTTATTGAATATTTTAAATATTTTATTAATTTTATTAAATTTTATATTTTACAATGTATATTTAGTGTCATGATTGTCCTTTTCCTAAATCACTATTTCCATTAATTTTCTCTATTGGTAACAATGGTTTTACCAAGCACAGCAACTTTTCAATATAACACTTGTGATTAACAAAGGATTTCATATTTCATATCTTACACAGATATACCTTGCCTTAGGATGGTCCTCCATTCCAACAGTCTAGTTGTAAGTCCAACATAGTACACACATATGAAAACACAATTCTAAATGGAAAAAGAGATCATGTGGTAGCTACAAAAATAAGACATTGAGACATTTTTATGCTAAAGTGAGGCTCCAGACTTGATCAGAACCCTCATCAAAATTATTTCCAGAAAAAATGTTGAATTAGAAAAGACCAAAAAAGAATATAAAATATTTTTTATAATGTTGCATTGTTTTCCAGTTCCAATCATAGTGTAAGTCCTAAGATTAATCATCTCCAATTGGTATTGGAATTTGGTGTCAACTCAAATGCTGACGTTGATCTCTCCCATGGCCTGAGTTGGTTTCAAATTACTCCTGGAAACAGATATGAGACCAATCAGAAAGCATAGATGGGAACTAAGACCCAATCAGGATGGATGATCACAGGACCAAACAGATAAAAATTCGTTTCAAGGACACAAGGCTCCTTGTTCATTATCACATCTTTCATAAGGTTTTTCCACAAAAAGTTTCTTCTGCCAATTCCTTTTATCTCTCTCTCTCTCTTCACAATTACTTGCACAGATTTGTCAAATCCAACTCTGAATGAGATTTCGTCTGCATGTTGCTATCACTCTCTTGGAACCTTCCTATTGAACTGCAATCTTTTAAGGTGAATGTTGCTGAAGATGATTCAGCAACATTTACCTTGTCAGTATATGTCTTTCTGGTCAAATACCACCATTCTTGGAATTACCTCTGCCATCAAACTCATTGCAAACCAAGTGACTTGAATCTCATCATCTGTCCTTCTCAAGGGTTCAGTTAAATAATGCCACTCCAGGGCCATTGGATGACAAAAAATTCATGTCAGCAATGATTTTTTTGGCAAGATTTTGACTATAGGACTCATTAACTTAAAAGAACTGAACTTTTAAACAAAATTTTTAAGTAGTGAACAATTTTGTAAGCCTTTGATTTCTCTCTTTAATAAATGGGTTTATACCATCAAATTGAACTGTCTCATGTGTTCACAAACACCCCATATGTGACAATTCCTTGTCTCATATCATTCTGACGTGTTAAATTTCTTTTTCCTATTAACTTTGAGCCTGTATTGTGTTGCAATTCCCTTTCACATGGTCCTCATACTAAGATGACTATAAGTAGTAATGAATGTCAATTATGATAAAAATGAATATCACTAATAATAAAAAATAAAATGTATATTACATTACATTTTGTTTTTATCATTAGTGACATTCATATGACAATTGTATGGTGGCAGTACACGTGACTGAAACAAAAAGCCATTAGGCTTTTTGTTTCAGTCATGTGTACCTTGTCTTTACTGATCTGACTACTACAAATGCTTTATGGGATAATTGTCGTAACTTCAGTATAGTCATATGTTGAGTGGTCATAAGTCAAGCTATGTCTGTATTATATATTTTGAGTTTACCAATAAAATATTACATTAATATCTTGTAAATTACATACAATATTATTTTATAGAAATACATAAAATTTTGAGGTATTGTATTTAGAAGAATTAGAAATAAACATTTAATGATAATAGCTTGAAATTTTTTTATCTGATATTAAATATTAGAAAATATGACTAAATGCACTATTAACAATAATAATAATAATAATCCTGTATCACGAACAAAATATACAAACATGTTGAAGAACATGACATTCTTACAGAACAATGAAAAGGTTGCCATAGAAATCACAGGGGATGCAAAGAACAGTTACTAATAGATTCAGTCATTCTGTGGCAAGCAAACAAACAACACAGAAACATACACATGGCATATATAGACTACAGAAAAGCATTCGACAGTGTTCCACACAGTTGGCTGCTACATATTCTACACATGTACAAAATACATCCATCACTCATTGCATTCTTCGAAAACACTATGCAGCACTGGAGAACAACACTACATCTCAGGGTTAGTAACACTTCCATACAAACAAACGAAATATTCATTAGGCGAGGAATTTTTCAAGGAGATTCCTTGAGTCCTCTCTGGTTCTGCCTAGCCCTGAATCCATTATCCAACATGTTAAACAACACGCATTATGGCTACAATATCAGACATGAAAAAACAACACAGTTTACACTCTCACATCTCATGTACATGGACGACATAAAACTTTATGCATCCACACAAAAACAACTTCATCAACTCCTACAAATCACACATTCATACACTAAGGACATACAAATGGAGTTTGGCTTAGACAAATGCAAAACACTTCACATAGAAAAAGGAATCCTGAAGAAAGAAGATTTTGCACTTGGAAATGGAGACGTTATTGAATCCATGGAAGAGGGCGAGTTCTACAAGTACTTAGGATTCCAACAGGCCAAACTAACAGAACATACACAAATAAAGCAACGATTAATTAAAGAATACCAAAGTAGGTTAAACGCTATACTTAGAACACAGTTAAATGCAAAACACACAGTTAAAGCAATAAACACATATGTCATCCCAGTACTCACATACTCTTTTGGAGTTATACATTGGACTCACACAGATCTCGAGCAACTCCAAAGGAAAACAAGAACAACACTTACTAAGCATAAACAACATCATCCTAAATCCGCCACAGAAAGATTAACCCTTCCACGTAAAGAAGGCGGACGTGGCCTGATTGACATAGTTAACCTTCACTACAAACAAATACAGTCACTGCGAGAGTTTTTCTACAAGAAACAAGAAACATCACAGTTACATAAAGCAGTAACTCTAGCAGACTCAAATAACACACCATTAAACTTACACTCACATCATACAGACATGACACAACACATAAAAAGCATAGACACCATCAAGCAATCGTGGGCTCGAAAGGCACTCCATGGCAGGCATCCTTATGACCTGGCCCAGGATTTTGTTGACAAAACTGCGTCAAACAGCTGGTTAGATCGGGGATGCCTCTTTGGGGAGACGGAAGGATTCATGATTGCCATACAGGATCAGGTCATAAATACTAAAAACTACAGAAAACACATACTCAAAGATACAACACTCACAAATGACACATGCAGAAAATGTCACATCATGCCAGAAACTATACAACACATCACTTCTGGTTGCAAGCTCTTGGCACAGACAGATTACTTACATAGACACAATCAAGTAGCAAATATAATACACCAAGAGCTTGCAAAGAAACACAAATTGGCAGACATCCACGAACCATACTACAAGTATATTCCACAGACAGTATTGGAAAACAACACGCACAAAATGTACTACGACAGAGCCATAATCACAGATAAAACAATTTACCACAACAGACCAGACATCACACTCATTGACAAACACAATAAAATCACATACATTATAGACATAGCCATTCCAAACACTCACAATGTACAAAACACATGCACAGAAAAAATTAGCAAGTACACAGATCTCGCCCAGGAAGTAAGGCATCTGTGGAGGATGGAAAGGGTGCTTATTGTACCTGTTGACCTCTCCTGTACAGGTGTGATACCACACACACTACACAAAAGCCTGGGAACATTACAATTGAATAGAAATACATACATAACACTACAGAAGGCCACCATATTGAATACATGCCATATTGTTAGGAAATTCCTGAATACAGACACTGGCACACTTATTTAATTTTAGTTTTGTTTTGGTTGCTATGCCTTGACTCTGCCAGTACACAGCCACCGGTGTGAACCGAGTATAACCCACTAAACACTATAATAATAATAATACAATAAATACTATTATATTATTGTTGTTTGTTGTTGTTGTGTTTGTAAGGGTCTTGTGACTATGGGTTTTCACATGATAATAGATGATGTGAGAGACTAATCACATGGAATGACCACGTTTTCCTTCTGACACCACCTAGGTTGTGAGTATCTGCATGGAGACTTAGAGCTAAAGGTTGAAGCACCAGTAATGCTTTTGCAAAATTTGGACCCACTAAAGTTACACCATTGGACAAGAATGATCTTTTATCTTTGTCTTGCAAGCCCAAACAATTTTCTGGTTTTTGCAGTTTTATTATTATAAATATTCGGATCAATAAATGCATATTTTAGTTACTAGGACCATTGTTTTTATCACCCTCTCTCCACCCCCTCAAAAACCTAAGCAATGTCAGGCACACATCACTAGTATGTTATATATTAATTTATTTTCAAGCACCCTTATATTTAATTAAATTACATTACTGAATAAATTTCTTTGATAATTGTGTGATTATTTTCAATATTTAGCTTTTTATTTTCTTATTTTAAGTGAAATATTTTCTAAAGAAAGCAAAAGAGAGAGAGAGAAATTGATCTAAGTTAAACTGCTGAATTATTCAATGCACTTACAACCCAGTTAATCTTTGGAAATTGGAATATTCCACTTTCATCAGTGCATGCCTCAGTTTCTCTAGTTTTCTCAGTAGGTCTCTATGGACTTCAGGGTTCTGTGTGTTAAAGTAAATTGAGAACCACTAGTTGTGACATGGACATTTATTTTTAAATCATCTGAAAAAATACATTGGTCTAGATTGAAATTTTCATAGTTTTTCATTACTTATTGTTATTATTTTATAAATTTTTGACATTCTTGTTCTACTTAATTCAAGTAATATACTACAGCTTATATTTTTATGAAATAAGTATCTAATATACTACCATATCTTAATATTAATTCATTTAAAAATACATCAGTTATAAAAGAATAATTGTTTTGATTCATTTTTGTAGATACTTACATGTTAATAGTAGAGCATGGCCGAAAAACTATATAATTGAAGATCCATTACAACCACCCCCTATTGCTCAAGAAATTGAAATAAGAGTAATTGATTTAATGACTTTTCAAGAGCAGGAAATGACTTATCATTCACATAGAGCATACACTTCCGAAGAAGAAATTTTCTTTATATTTTTGGATGTTTGCAAACAATACATTGCAAGGTAAATTAATGAATATTTTAATTTTTTTATACCTCTGTCCATAAATATTTCAATTTTTGTTTATATATTATCCATGTAAGTCTTGTTAATAAATAGGACTATTGTTAATAAATATTATACCAGTGTAGTTTTCCTTATTTTGCTAATTCGAAACTACATCAGTATAATAATTTCCATTTATAAACAAGATCTACGAGAATAATATATAAACAAAAATAATGAATAATATATAAATAAAAATAATGAATATTTTCACTACATTAAGATGTTTATTATTATTATTCTTCTTGTGTCGATTCTGGCCATCTTTGGACCACGTACAAACAACTAATTATGACTTGCTTTTTCCTCTTCCCTTCCCTTTGTGCTTCTTCCTTTTTTCCCAATACCTCTTCATTCTCTCACTCTGCTGTTGTCTTTGCTCCTGAGTGAAGATTCTTTCACGTCTGTTATTTTCCTTTTTCTGAAAGCCCTTGAAGTTCTTTATTTTATTTCTAAACCTTTCCCTGTTCTGGATATCTTCTTCAGATATGCCCATTTCTGCCATGTCTTTTTGACTGTCATTGATCCATTGATTCTTATTCTTTTGGTTGTTGTTTATTATTATTAATTTGTTTTATTTTTATTTAGTGGTGCCGAAGATAAACATGCATACTTATGGGACAGATATTATGGAATGTGTATTGGTAAACTACCACATTTAGGAGTAGTGAACTCTGTTGCATTTAATCCTCAGAATCCAGAAATGCTAGTAACTGCCAGTGATGATTTCACTCTTAAAGTATGGCGATCAAAGAATCAAATAAACAAACTTGGAATAAGCTGCTTCCTTGATAGATGAAAATAAATAATATGTATACATATGTAAATATATTGTAAAATTCTAAATTCTATTCTCAAAATATT